CTTTACCTTTTTATAATATGAGCAGAGGTATGCTTAAACGAATTACTATACTACGATGTAGCAATATTCATAAATCCCACCATAATATTAGGCTGTATTGCATCACTGTAATATCTCGATAATTTCCATCATATATATATGCTGCAATGTACTTCAGTTCCTCCCAGGTGATTAGATGTTTATTTGAGTAGGTGATATTGAATTATTAATCTAAATAAATATGCTTATCGTCTAATTGGATGAGTAGTTTGTATTTTACTAGGATGTTTTTGATAAGAGAAAAAAACCGCACAATGCCGATTTTCTAAATACTAATTTATGTGTTCGTATCTTGTGATTGTGATATAACAACTTTTTTACATGTACTCGAATACTTTTATTATTTTAATAAGGACTGTATTAATCATAATATTTATTGTATTTTTTTTTATAATAAAAGCAATGAATGCGTTTAGTCTACATGCCCAAGAAAATTATCCAGAGTATACGGCTAGTATACGGCTTTTGTAGTGTTGGAGAAGGATGAAAAAGATAAACTGGGCAGAAATACAATTGATCGAATAATATCTGGGAATCATCAAAGAAAATAATTTTCTTGAATAAGTCGCTTTTGAGATAAGTATTATTTATCACTTGTTTGAAGTCGGTTCTACTTTTTGAGGTGAGTAATAGCTGATTTCACGCGAGTACAGAGCCGGTGGACGTACATAATGTACTCGTATTAATATACAAATATGAAAAACGAAGAAAATGTTGAGTGGTACCAGCTAGATAACACGTACAGTTAATTTTTAATATAATTCACCGAAACTAGTAACAGCTGATAACTTCACAATTGAATAATTCTTCTAAAGTTTCTAATAAAATGACATGGACTTGATCCATGTCGAAAAGGAATAAACTAAATTATTTTCCATTGGTAAGCCTTTAACCTTCATATGCCATTAAATATACAATACTAGCTTTCCGACAGCGGCTTCGTCCGCATGGTCACTAGGGAACTGTTAATGGGCATAAAAGCCTTATATATTAATTCAGGTTGTAACGCTTAAAAAAAAAGTTTATTAATTAGTTATAGGTTGTTGGTGGGTTTAGGACCCGTAAGAGCGTTAACAGATGGGTAATAAAACAAATTATTTTTATAATAAACGTTTACTACCCAAAAAGTAGGGAGACATGATATCTCAGGGTTAGGGTTCGACGGGAAGCTCGCAACGTGGATCAGTATATGTATAGGTACAATTATATAAGGCCCTAGTCAACCGTTCGCAATAGCTAGGTCTCGGTCATCCACTGTCCTGGTAGTGCTCCGGCGAGATGAACGGCCGAAGAGGTCCAGTGGTGTAGGCCATTAGATGGGTCCGAAGCCAGCGCTTCAGCACCCAGATGTTAGGTAAAATTGATGATCATCTTAAAGCTTCCCAGGGGTGGGAAGGAACCCCAATACGGGGATATCACTTCGAATATATTATTATACTTTTTCAAAAAACAAAGTTACTAGTACGTTGATAATGTTACGTTCGCGACGGCAGCGGCCACGAAAGAAAAATCTCAATATTCAAGGACTACATGTTGACGTTACACTGCCTTCAGTTGAAATGTGTCACAAGGAGCGCGTTCACAGGTTTTGTACCTTTCATAAAACTGGTTTGCGCCTGCGACGCCGAGAACAATAGCTTCGAGCAAGACATGTTGTCAAGCCCGTCGCCGTTTATCTATATAGAAAATAATTGGTTTGTCAATCTTCACACAACAAATTTTATAGTAAAATAAATGTATACGTTTTATAAAATATAAACCGTTACAAGGTTTAGAGTTATCCGTACACCAAATTTCAACAAAATTTGTTTAGTAGTTTTTGTGTGAAAGAGTAACAGACATACTTACAATCGCACAAACTTTCGCATTTATAATATTTGTAGGATAACATCGTTGTAATGACCGTCAATTCGCACGATCGGTGACATATATTCGAGGGATCTAAATCTGAATTACTGCCTAGTAAATCCGACTTAATTTGAGCTAGAAGTTTGACGAAATCTGGAAGTAAAAAGCAATTATAGACGGATTATGAAACTGAGCGTCAAAAACATTGTATAAATATTAAAACACATTAATTGATGCCAAATGATTATGAAAATATGCAAGAGACTTATTAAGATCATAATGACAAAATATAGATAAAATATAAATGTAGTGCATGAATCTTATTCATAATAATGAAAAATCCTAGTAATGATTTACATTTCAACGCAAAAAAAATACGCAAAAGTGAGTTCAAAAATACGCAAAAGGATCGAAGTTCTTATTATCGAATAAAATATTACACAAAAATCCAAAATATATTGAGACTTTTGGGAGCAAACTATATATGGAGCGTGGGCCATCTCCTTAAAAAAGTTTGCATTATATCCCATTTAGAGTTTAAGTAATATGATATAGTTTCTCATGATTAATTAATAGTTTTTAATATTTGCGTTAATTTGAAATTAGTGTTCGTTTAGGCATCTCGAAAGCCTATTACTTTTACATAATTGTTTACTGCTTTCAGGACCCGTTTTATACGTATAGGAGGAATAAGAAATCTTATCTCGCATCCCACATTCAATTAACTCTGTAGCCTTGATTTTGCTTACACGTACAGCTTGTAAACACGTGTAGTAGTCTCTGTTTATATTAAATTTCAGATAAGTCGAGTAATCTTATAATCGTGATTGTAAGATTTCAAAGAAATTTCTTGCATGAAAGCTGAACAGACAAAAACATAATATTTTGCATGAAATGTAAAAACTTTAGCCAATATTCTTTCTCGTTAAACTTCTTTTTCCAGTATTCAGTCTTGTTTAGATCCGTAGTTTGCTAACTTTGCTTTATTAAAGGGCATCCTATTACACTTCGCTTTTCCTTTATTCTTTTGGATTATTAAAATATCTGGATAGGTGGGATTCAGAGACGCTGGCGCTGTGATTTCTTTGAGAATCTTGTGCTTAAAGAATGGATAATAATAATCAATATTAAATAATATTAATTACATGGCTCAGCGAGCGTTTCCGCAAAATTCCGAACCCGAATTCGAATTCATTCGTGCGTTTGATTTCTACAAAACAAAACAAGATAGATTGATCATAAGTGAAGTGAGAGGTTCGCAATGACAGAGGGACACTTATGCCACTTATGACACTAATGCCACGAAACGTTAATACCAATTCAAGTTTAAGTGGATGTCGGTTTCGAAGTGAACTCAGACACCTGAGTGAATTCGAATTCGGGTTCCGATTTTTACGGAAACGCTCTGCTAATCTCAAATTATTAGCTAATTATAAAAAAACAGTTTTAGTTTCTACCTGTATTGAATATAATATTCATCAATAAATCTATGTATTCTACTGCATATAATCTGATCTAATTTACACACGTTTGCATTAAGTACATATTAACACGCGATCACATTCGCGGAGCGCGATAAACACGCCGCCAGATGGAGCTTGTAGATTTACGCCCGGTTTCTGAATTGATTTTAAACGTTATTTAAACAGGAAAGTAAAATCGGAAAACCCGTTTAACTGACGTTTAAGTACAGTTTGAAACGTCCTTAACTTGATATTCTCAATTCAGAAACTAGATGTTAATCTAAAGACATCATCACCTAATACTTTCTCTAAAATTCTTATGCGTATGAAAGGTACATTTTGTGGAAACATGATTTGAAGTTGCGTTTAGTTTATACTTACCTCAAAAATTACTGAAATTTTGTTTATTTTAATTTGATAGCTTAAAATATATTTCTTTCGAAAAGTCCATTTAGTCCATCTTTTAGTTTGTAAAAAAAAGGACAACCAACTCCTCTATTCAACTCAATGACAAAAACAACATTTACAAAAGTATATATATTGTTACCAAACCCGGCTCAAAGCATAGACATATTTATATATGTTCAGACTCATTTTTCGCTTCTAATAGTCTCATGGGAATTGAGTAGCAAAGTTCAAAGGCAGTAACTGACAGTGTAATCTTATTTAGTCTCACATCGAGTTCCTATGATCGGTAATATGTCGTGTAGTTGCATAATTAGTTTAGAGAACCTGTCACTAGCTTCCTGTATCAATTAAATTCTATTGAAATTTTACTCCTTGTTGCAAATGAATTGTCAAAACTTGTGTTAAAATTTGGAGTATTATTGGTTATAGAAATATATTTGACTGTTGTTTGAAAGCTTTGATAATGAACAATGCCTTCCTAATTTAAAAGTTTCGAGACATCGCATTTCGAGTTCAACCAAGGTCCTTGAACGGAAAATTATGGTAACTGGTTCGTTTTTATATACGTTCGGCTTAAATTACTTATCTACAACTTTGATAACTACTTTATCTAATGTAATAAGAAATTGTGTCAATAAGTCGCCAGAAAATTTCTTTCCGGGAACCACACTCTTTGGAATCAGTTAAAAACAAGCTATAACAACTGAATCTCGGTTTTCCATTAATCACAGTCACCTCAAATTACGTCGATAGGTCATAATTAATACAATTAAAAGCGTCATTAATCTGCCTTTGACATTTTAAAAGTCGGTGTGATCGTTTGGGAAAAGGACAATGCCATTTTAGTAATTACAAATTATATAATATCCCTGTGACATATTTGGAGGGAATTATCTAATATTATCTAGGTGAAGTAGTGGTTAACGCGTTTGTAACTATGGAAATCGAGCAACTTTCACGAGTGCTCGTCAAAGGATGGGTGACCAATATTTATTATATCGCGCCTTTGGTAGCTGTGAAGATTATGCTTCTAAAGTCATAGGCGTTTATTACAGCTGAATATATATTCATTAGCACTCACCTATCCACATACTGCTCGCGTAGTGACTTATGGTGGCACTCACTCTTCATTCTTCTTATATAGAAATATAGGAGTAGGATTCATGTGGAAGACCTTTACTCCAGTAGCAAACATTTGATGATAAGGGCATTATAATTGGTAACTTTTTTGTTTGTTCTCAGGTGTCAGCTTGGGTGACTGAGTTGGTGCTTACTCAGACCTCATCAGAAGAACGTAAAGCAGCGTTGGCTTGCGTGCTCCGGGTCGCGTTAACCTGCTGGAACATTGGAAACTTTAACGGAGCAATGGAGATCGTTGCAGGCTTAAAGTTAGTACTCGTTTATTTCGAAAAATTTAGTATAAAACTCCGATTAAAGTTGTTTCTAGTTACAAACGTAAACAGCATGTAATGTTAAGTGAAGAAAAAAATGGATAATGGAGCTGAACATCATCATCAAGAACTGTTGCATCATATAGTGTCAACCAACGAATGAGCGCAGTTGTTCGTCTGAGATTTTTTACCTTTCTCATTCAGAACCATAATCCAATTTGTTGGCTGAATATTCATATTATTCAGTCCAATCCGTCTATATGTTTTCGGCTCACTGTTGTAAGGGACTCACTTCATTCGCTCATACCGTCCTTAGTATTTGTGTTGAGCTCGCTTTTGTGAGGGGCTCGCTTCACCCGCTCGATGCGTCCTTAATATTTGCGTTCGGCTCGAAGTAACTTTACTTTCAAGAGTAAAGTCCAATACTGCTTCCATCACTCCAGCCCACAATGAACATAGAAAATAATTGCTCAGTTGGCAGGGGTTTCTTTCGGCCTTCAGCTGTTCCCAAGTCTGTAGGCCGGCGGAAACTACTTGCCGGCTGCGCATTTAATCATCATCCTCATGAGAAGACTAGAGAAGAACACAAGGAATCTACACATAAAGCTTCATTGACTAAGGGTGGGTGCAAATCAGCCGGAAGCAAGATGAGCGCGTCTCGACAGTCAGAACCGATAAATTTATTATATGACATTCATCGACGGTTGCCAACGTACTCTAAAATAGAGTGTTGTACTCTATACCATGTACGCGGACCCTATAACCTAAGTATGATAATAATAAACGACGTTATAACACTTTTTTTTTCACACCATATTCATAATATTAATGTCAGGCACGGCCATGTGATTCATACCTATTGTCGTAACTGGAAAACAATCGAACATTAACAATAAATAACATAAACTCTATTACTTCTAATAAAAGTTGCAAACATACCTTACTATTTAAACAACTTAAAATAGTAAGGCATGTTTACTATTGTATGTTTACCTTGCATACTATTTTAACAACTTAATTAGTACTTGCTAATATTAAGCCTATTATTATATTACATATAAACAATGAGTGTTTATTAAGGAGGGATCCCTCAGAGAAATGATCAAAGAAATTTATAACATTGTGTACTTAGTTCGTGGGTCTATGAGTTTATTTTTATTTTTTTTGTAATATTGGCACAGATGTAAATTACTTTGCTGTTCCAAGGTTTAGATTAAGCAAAACAAGAGGCTTACCCGTCGCGGAATGTATAACTTTAATAAATTGCCATAAAATATTGTTCCTTTCGTATAAATTTAAATTAAAAGAAAATTACTCTCACAGGTAAAGAGAGCTATTACAGTCTAAAATTACTTGCGAGGCTCAAGAGCATGGTCTAATGGGTGTAAGAAACTAAAATGCAAGAGGTATTGTTCGTAAATTTAGTTAACTTTGATTTAGTGATAGATAGGTATAAGATAATTAATGTATATCTGTGATATAAGTAAAGAGCTGATATTTTTTGTGTCTTTTTTTCTTGTCAGTGAAAAAATATTCTTTTTTTTATACGTCGGGGAAATGCTTTAAATATTTGCACATATTGGACTTAAGATTTCAAAATTGGCTAAAATTAAATGGAGAAATATAAATTAAATCATACACTCTACCTGTTTATCAATTGAGCTCAACCTTTCACCTGTCCGGCAAAATGTCCGATTTGCGCAACTTTCGAACCAAAATTAGTGATTGGTTGTTTAAGAGGTGCATATCATTGAAATGACAATATGTCTAGAATTGTATATGGAAACCATATTGATAAATATGTTGTTAGAATTGTTGTGAAGTAAGATTACAGAATATGTTTGAATGTGTACATTTTATTTATATTCAGGTAATTTGAAGTTAAAGGTGCTAGAAGCATTTTTTTTCCAATAAGTCGAAAAATAAACGAGATTATTGAATACAAAAACATGAATTTCAATTTATTGTTATTCAATTTACATCACGATTCCACATTTAACAATAATTCACTCCTGATGACGCCTGTGGGTTTAGTTATTAGAAATGTTAATATCGCTCACTGTATAGTACAGTGGCACAACTCAAAAACCATTATTTCGAGAAAACGCCACACCATTGCGGTGGCATCCCATAGATAATTTAGTGAAAAAATAAAACACTTAACAGTAATAATATAATACAAACGATTAAACTGTTATGCTAAAAAATTTGATTTTCATAATTATATTAGATTTTAAAAAATTCGGAGAGCGTTTCTCGAAATTATGGTTTTTGAGTTGTGCCACTGTACTATTCAGTGAGCGATATATTCTATAGTTTGATATTTGGTCCTAATATAAACCCCGTCAAAAGTTAAAACTAATAATGTTACAACTTAGTGATCGAGAAATTTAATAAGGTGTGACAAACACTTGAAAAAAATGACCCCAAAACAGACGCTCTCAAAATGTTATATTTGTAACGAACTAAGTGAATTTAAAAGTCGACCAAGCAGTTGTGGTTTATACTGTTCTTGGTCTTTTTATTTTGGTAATGGTCTGGTAATCTCTTATTATATGATACTAGCTGTTTTCCCGCGACTGCGTAAACCCCGTATGATACCCGTAGGTGAAAGAATTTTTTTAAAATAGGTACCTAAGTTTTAGAGCCTTTTCGATGTAAACAAACAAATAATCAAATATTTCCTATTTATAATATTTGTATAGATAATGAGAGACAAACAGAGTCGTTGCGGAATTTAATAAATTGCCATAAAATGTTGTTCCTTTCGTATAAATGGAGCCTTAAATTAAATTATAAATTATAATAAAATTACACAGACCTACTTTAGGTCTGTTTAAAAAAGTTGACTTGAGATAAGAGATAGGAGGGATTGAAAGTTTGTATGATAATTCGTCATTCTCAAAGATAAAATCATGAAACTTTATATTCAGCTATGAATATTGTTTGTTTTAGCGTTTTTGAAAATACTGCCCAAAGTAACTATGCCGCGCGGAGAAAGTCGCGGGCATAAGCTAATTTAAGATAAATGTCAATAGTGAATAGAAAAGATTATGATATATTATCCTTTTCTAAGGGACGGCTGTAACAGTTTGCAGCATGCCCGAAAAAGCCTTCATACATTTAGGGACCACTATCACTAACTGCATAGTCCAAGGGATAGTGTACAGAATGTAACCTACATCCACCGAGAACGAGTGAGCGGGCTACCTAATGCGTTGTATATATATACTATATTATATATTTACCTATATATTATACCTTATGTTTATTGAAACATGACTCATTAGTAACTTCATAAATACCATATTCAGTATCATATCAGTATCATGTCAGTATCATATTCGGGTATCGTGCTACAGAGCATGATACTCGTAAATGATACAAGTAAATTTAAAAATACCTAAATAGGTCTGTACCTATTTAGGTATTTTTTTAATTTTATTAATGCAAAGTTGATGTTACAAAATGTAAACTAAAAGCCGGTATCTAAATGTCCTAATTTTATTTAACTGCTTGCTATCAATTGATCAATATATAAACTAAAATCAGAAAAAAAAGTCTGTTTATGCGTTGCTTAACTCAATTCAGAAATCGGGTGTAAATGTCCGATGATGCTGGCTATTTGAGAAAATGAGATAAAACTAACTTCTTCTATTACTTCAAAATGTATTTAGCGTAAGAATGTATTGAAAGACGTTGCTTGCTGTGAACATATAAAATTATAATTAACTGCCTTTAGAGCCGAGAAAAAATGTGTTAGGAGCATATGTCATTTACAGAGTACGGATACCTGTAAGCCACATTTTATTAAACTAAATATTATGACCCTGCCATCAATCTATATATTCGAGGTTGGTATTTTTGTCAAACAGAATCAACAACTATTTGAAAATAAGACGAGATTGCGTCATTGAGACAAATTATGTACGATACCCTATAGACAGCTCTGTTGAACAAAAGTATCTTTTCTATGGCTCCAAAAATTTTTAATGAAATTCCAAAAACAATACGTAATCTGGATGACTGTAATGTTTTTAAAAGAAAACTTTGTAAATTATTAGTAGCTAAAGCATATTATAGTGTAAACGAGTATCTAGCTGACAGTACTTTGTAAATGTATAAATGCTTAACGCATGAATTGAATTTTGTCATAACATATTATTGTTTAGATTAGTTGACAATTACTAACCTACTAATATTGTATGCCTTTTAGGCAGATCACGGTGTAACTATTCAGTCCTTGTATTCAATATCTTTATATAACCTGTGATCAACAATTAAGATTGATTTGATTTTTATTTTGCTATAAAACTGTATAAAAAAAAACTGACTAAGCTCATGATGAGTTTTGACCTAAATAGCCTCCTCCTAGTCGGTCCTTTATGACTGAGGATCGTGGTCAGTATCCACAGGGTAATAGTAAACTATGAACTAAAATTTGGATTATGATTGTTTCACTTGATCGGTTCATTTAGTTGGTAAGCGGTCACGTGATCTTTTACCTTCGATGTAATGATAATGTAAATTTAATGCACCACGTCCCCTGGTCAAAGGTACATCGGTCGCGTCGGACCCATTTCACGCAATATGTCATAATTTGTACTTGAATCTAGTCCGCCGTAATATGTTATAGTATACTGACATATAATATAATTACTTTTATATCCCGTAGGGATTGGACAAAGCTCGATAACTAGCTAGTGACAGGCCATGGTTTCGTTTCACTATTACATCACTTTTCAGTGAACCTATAACTTTAATGCAAAAAAAAGGAAAACATAATACTAAGAGCAGGTTTTTATGATTTATTAAATACTTAAAAAATCTGCCAAGGATTGTACTGATAGTTCTGTAACCATAAACTTGAATTGTGGCATAAAATGTGAAAAAAAACATCAACAGATCATTCTATCGGTAAGGGGCTGTCCATTAATCACGTGAGGCTCGAAAGGGGGGGGGGGGGGGAGGGGTCCATAAAAAAGTCACGAAATATCACAAGGGGGGAGGGGGGGTGAAGTAACATATCACGTGTATTTATTTTTTCGACAAACGCGCGATACTCAACCGAAAAGCGGCGTAAATAAGTGTAATAAAATTATTTTTTCGTCAAACGTCTACCTCTAGACATTATTGTACTCTTTAATTGTCTATAATACAATTAGAAAATTAAGATTCATTGTAAGTACTAAAAATACACGTGATATATGGGGAGGGGGGGGGGTAGTCTTAAACCTCACCATGTATCACTATGGGGGAGGGGAGGTTAAAAAATGCCAAAAAAAACATCATGTGATTAATGGACGGCCCCTAATATCATATACACAGCTTTACGCGTATCGTACACTGGTACGCAGCAGATGTGAACTTTAAAAGAGGTTGCGCACATCAACCCCAAACCTCCTTGATGAGATAAAGGCAAAAGAAAAAAAATGCTATCTTGTTTTGTCTTTTATTTTAACGCTTTTGGAAATACGTTGATCCGATTATTATAGATAGTTTAATTATCTTTTCCACAATTAATTAATTAAAGAAAACTATTTGTAACTAAATTCCGGAGGTGCTCATAGTTCGATTATATATCTTTATATATCGATTGTATGTCAGCGTTCTGTCGTGTACATTATAGAGATAATTTACAGTTATATAAAGAGAAAATATTTGATTATTTATTTGCATTGATTAGACTCCGAAATCACTGGACTGATTTTAGAAATTAATTCACTCACAGGCAGCTTGATACACTATAATGTGTCATGGCTATAATTTACGCGTGAGAAGTCGGAAAAAAGCAGTTAGTGTACTATATTTTTCTTTCGATTTCTTCTATTTTCACCCGCATCATAATTAAGCCCTCACGTCAGTTTGGCTATTCATAAGCCTCCTAACCTTGTTGATGTTGAGGTTATTCATTGAGATCAACTTTAAGTAGAGAAAATATCACTTAATATTACTTTATCAATAATGGTTTGAAGAATATATCAATAGCCATCACATAACTGTACCTACTGCAATATTTTCAACGTAGTTTTTCATATTATAGCAGATAATACGAGTTACTCCATTTACCGCACTGAAAACGCCTTATCCGTTGGGGGTTTTATCGCACTAGCTTTCCGCCAACGGCTTCGCTCGCGTGCTTTTCCCGTTTTTGCAACATTTTTCAGTTCTGTTCCACTACTTTTAGCCATATTGTGATTTTAAATAGCCTATAGCCATCTTCAATAAACGGACTAATCAACAAGAAAATAATTTTTCAATTCAAACCACTAACCCGGAAATTAGCGCATACCAAACTCTTCAGCTTTATGTCTATACTAATATTATATAGAGGAAAGATTTGATTGTTTATATGTTTGTTTGCAACGAATAGGCTTAGAAACTACTGGACTAATTTTTAAAAATCATATGCGGTGGGCATAGGCTATTATTTTCCCAAATAAAGGGATGAAAATGGGAGTGGAGGTTTGTATAGGGAATTAAAACTTTACCATAGTAACCATTGTTTACTATTCAATTGGTCATTGTAATTATATACGTGTCAAGATATGAATCGATATCCAAATTATTTTTTTAAATTGTTACATAGTAAACACACAAAACAGTTCCCTATGGATCATGCGGGCGATCCCGCTAGCGAAAAGCTAGTATTATTATATAGTAATAGTAATGGTAAATTAAAAAACATGAATTTATAAAATTTTTGACAGGTCTGGTGATCGGAATTCTGGTTCGTCGCTTGACAAATCAGTTTGGCAATCCGAAGAGGATTTTTGGCATATCACATGTTACTAATGATTGGGGAATAGCTTTTATCTACCAGTTTCTTTTGCCCGCGACTTCTTTCGAGTGGTATTTTTCTTTCATTAACAAACTACCCCACAAAATTTCATTCCCCTATTTAACCGCATTATTTCTGAACATAATTTTATTAATATCAATAGCGTGATTCGCACGCCGGTTTAGGGTTAAATTTCGGGTCAGATCAATCTAGAAAATGGACCTTCGTTGTCTCGGATACAAAATACGATGGCTTTAGTCACTCATCTTGGAGTGTGAAGGCTGAGCAATGTCTGAGGATATAATGTATTCAAATAACTATCAAATATCCCAGCAAAAACATAACATGTGCAAAAATGCACATGTTATGTTTTTAACGCAATTCTTCTATCGTATAAAGTTATGAAATCAATGTAAACCAAGTCGATTAATTCAGTACCTAAAATTCAGTCCAGAGCAGCTTCCCATCCTTGTTGTAGATTTAGAAATACTTAACAACTTGCCATTTGAGTATTATAAAATTCTCTTTGGTTTGTGTTACTATACAACACATTGATGGATGTTTTCAAAATGCTCTACAGTTATAAATAAACAAAAATCTAAAAACGGGACAAATATTTCATAATGTTATATTTTTTCTTTACTTTGTATGCAAAATAATAAGAGTTCAAAATTTGGAGCCTGTGGATCTGCTAGAAATACCTTAGATTTTTGATGATCTGTGAGTCAGTCAGTGACAAAATTAATGTATTTTGAACTGCGATAATTCTCAAAATACTCGTTCAAATTTAATGTAATTTGGAAATGTGCCTTGTTATGTGATGTTTGGTTACTGAAAATGTAGACTTCTAGTTCACTCCACAACAAAATTACAGGAGATCAAAAATGACCCGAATGGCTTCGAGAAAAGGATGGTACGGCCTTTTTTTTGTTCGACTTGGTGGGGTAATCTCCGTGCTCCCAGTTAAAAAACTTAATAAATAGTATTTAATGGACTTTAAGTTTTATCGAGAAACTTCCCAATTAACTAAGTCGCCTTGCCTGCTTTCAGAACACGTTCACTTGTTTGTGTTAACTATAGATTGTGCCACTCGAAACGAGAATAAACAAACGGAGGAACTAAATCCTGACTTTGTTTAATACTATCGACACGCCCTGACTTTACTCGAGTACACTTTACATGTTAAAGTTCATGTGGTTGTAACGCTTTTTAGAAAACGATGATGGTTGAGGTTTAAAGCCCGTAAGTTCTGCGATCACAGATAAAGGACAGTAAATCAATTAATTTTTAATGATAAAAGTTTTACCCTCCAATCCGCATTGGGCCAGCGTGGAGGGTCATGGCCCATCCTCCTTAACCATCCATAAGGAAGGCCTGAGCCCCTGCAGTGGGGACGTAAAAGGGCTGGTGATGTGATAAAAGTTTACTACTCAAAAAGTAGGGAGACAACAACAAATCTCAGGGTAAGGGTTTAATGGAAAACTTGCAAGGTTGTTAAGTGTATAAGATACAATTTTATGCCCCTAGTCTGTCGTTCACAATATCTGGGTCTCGATTTTATCCGATATTCTCGGCTATCATCGATATAATTCAGTCGATATACACATCATCTTTGAACATACGCCGAAACGGAAAGGTACTCAGTTCATTATACCGAAGCTGTTTGCCAAAATATCATAACCTCTTGACTTCATGCCAAGAATCAAGTGTTAATCTGGAAATAATAGGAAATAAGATATTTTTTAGAAGTCACATTTGGCAAACTGTTGCCAAAAGGAATAAGACTAATATTTATAGCAGAATACCTTTTCGTTTTTTTTTTAAATTTTCAATTTCATTGTTTTTTTCTGTATTTTATTCGAAAGCTTATGAGCCTGAGATGGTCTAATAAAAGAATATCGAAATCAAATTGGCACTTTTGTTATTATAACAAAAATATTTAGACGACATATTAATATCATCGAGTAAAACAAAAGACCGTGCATTTGATTGCCTACAATGGTTATATAACTTAACAATTTTAAAATCAATGAATATACATCAAAATTTAAACCCATTGAACATATAACATCCACCTTTTCAATTTTGAACTCTGTTACAAATAAAGTGGTCCGATAGTCTTTATCAGCTGTTACCTCAAATAGTGCCCTAAAATTAAAAGCCAATACGAAAACTCACCAAACAAAAAACCCAATAGTATTCTTTCTGTATCGTTTCCAGGTCCAACAAGCTGAAGGCCTTCTGGTTCAGCATATCAGACGAGCCTCTACCGGCACTGGACTTCCTGTCGGCTGCTCTACTATCAGCTGAATACGAACGAGCGTTGGGCAGAGCGCTGGCGATGCCTGAATGTAGACTGATACCATTTTTTGGTGCCTTCTTAAGAGAACTCAGGTAAGATAAAGCTCAAATGTTATTTGTTTATTTACACATCACAAAGAGCAGAAGAGCAGTAGCCCGATGGAAAGATAACGTAGTGCAAGTTGCTGGTGAGTAATGGATGATAGATAATAAGGGACACTAGGAATTTCTCAGGAGGAGCCCTTCACCTTCAACTGATTGAGGAGGTGATGTTATTTTATTAAATACTTCAAATTAAAGATAAAATGTTAACCGCTATGTAAATTATGCTCTTTATATCTTTTTCCCTTACGAAGTAGGCAGAGAGGACCAAGTTCCCCAAGGCACGGTCGCCTCGTCCACTTTCGTTACTCTTTTGACACATACTCGCCGGTTATGATGGCTTCTAACAGCACGCAATTGCTTTGATCATTAACACACCTTTAATGGTTAGCCTTCCTTAGCTTCTGAATTCTTTCTTTCTTTCTCGTTGTTTATCAGTTTTGTCATACTTTCAACTGGCATTCTTTTCACATGTCCGAACAGACAAAGCATTTTTATGTTGATTTTAACTTATACGCGATTTTCTAGGTCAACTCTCTTTATTATCCCTGCATTAGTAAGCATATTTGTTGCTTTTTATTAACAGTAAAATAAAATATTCAATTTATTTACCATTATAAAGAATTGATTTTGATAGAATAGAATTGATTGAAATTGCGGAAACAGTGATGTCAGTGAAAACCCTAATACTTCTTTCTCTCCATCAACATTTGTTTGTTCAGTATTAGACATTTACTCTTCCCCAGCTCCTTTCAGTGCGATCTCCAGGCTATAGCACCCAAAATTTGACAGCTGGTTGAATTTTACACTCAAACCTTCTTCCCGCTTTCGGTCTCCCTGGTTTCATGCTAATACTTTTCAACAATAAATGTATGTATCATGAAAGCGAAAACATCAAAAACATTAAATTCAACATTTGATATACTTTATCAGCGTCAGCCCATCAATAACCAGTTTTTGACATAGACTTCTTCCAGTTCTTTCTATATCTGTTTTGGAGCCTTTTCCATCCAGTTTCCACCTGCGTGTTTTCCATATTCATGACCTAAAGTTTCAGAACATCTTAAATATCTCTACGATCGGTAAATAAATTTGGATATCTTACTATAATGTTTGTATTTTTGTATTTAACTGTTGTCTTATAGAAAATATAATCAATAAACATACAAAAAGCTGCGTCATTCGACAAGCTCACTGTTACTGACATCACGCGGACTAATTAATTGGCTGCGATTAAGTTCCAGGCCACTAGGTCTGGGAATAATATTGTCTGTACACATTTTGCGCTTCTGGCAATTTCGTGTTGGGCTCATTATTTCTCAGTATATACGTTTTTGAGTAACCCACCCGCAAAGATGTACGGATTAGCATGTGTTGTTTTACCTCTGTACTTATACAGAGCTGCTCGTTATAAACATTAATATATTTTTATAATGCATTTATCTTTCATTATAATAATAATAATAATAATAAATTCATTTATTTAGCAACTGAGGCGCATTTGTTAGTAGATTACATATTAACTTAAAAACCTATGTTAGTAATTACAAATTTAATTTTAAAATATTAAGATGTTATTTCTTTAGCCATTCCTCATTTGGTCTCATAGTCACAAGTGAGAAATGCCTAAAGATTGGCGATTCGTGCTTACAACATAATACTTTCAGAATGCTGTTGGAGCTTTCCTGTACGTTTGTCAATATGGATGCTGTTTTCTTTCGCATCATTGCAAAGAAATCGTCCGTTCGCGCTTCAGCAAACATGCTTAAGGCGCTGCAGGAACGTGGTAACCCCATCAGCACTCTGAAACCATTATTATACTGAACTCTGAACGAGTTTAATGCCGCCTGAGTATAGTTGGTCCAAAGCGCGTGTCACCAGCATGAATTATGGATTATTTTCAAATAGGCAAAACTAATTGTCATAAATACGAAATCGTAATATAAAAAAATATTTATTAATAGAACTTAAAAAAGAACCGCGAAAATATACAATTTTATGGATACGTCAACTAAGATAATTTCTTAGAACTAAACAAAAGCAAAGTGAGACTCGTCTATGAAAACTTGACGGTATAAATATAAAGAAAATCGGCTGACGGTAACACAGCTCTATATATATATTAATCATCTTAAACGCAACAACCTGTGTGTTGTTTTTAATTGGTGCAACATTTTTGTTGTACATTCGCGTCTGTACTATGTTGTGTGTAGCGGCGGTCAATTATTCAGAGCACGTCGTTATACTGCGACTTAGTAATTAAATACTTGCATGTGTGTACTCCGACCGATATACCTAGATATACACTTATAACACTTACTCGGCTTCCCTTTTGGTCAATTATTTTTATTCCACCTGAATACACTAATAAAGAAAAAAAAATCTTTATTGTAAAATAAATAAAAAATACATCTACCCTACATTACGTATTTCGCGATCGGAAAATTAGAAATCAATATTAAATATTAGAAACCAAGACATAATACTATACAGCTAAATAGGTGATTAAAAAAGCAAAAAAATACTTTGAAATCTAGTATTTTTTCTATTTTTGTCGTATTTATCATATTCCTGTAAGTATATTATTAGGCAAATAATTTCTTGCAAATTTCGTTTACTTACAACTAGACGTTACGTATCAAAGCAATAAAAACACATTCTCTATTACGATTGTTTTATTACGATATATTTGTTGTTTCTTAAGCTATAATAAAAATAAAAAATCCGGTATTCGTAGGGAGATCCTGGCAGCAACCCCGGCACTGACCAGCCACTCGGTAGCAGCCACCCCTACACACAGAAGAGAATTCAAAAGAGAATCTGTCAAAGAAGACAGGTAAGCAACCTAGTATAGAAACATCATTTTTGAAAAATAATGTCTTAGAAAAAAGGAAGGCAAATCAATTTGTGTAAAAGAAATCTGTCTCATATCCACAAACTCATAACATCTATACAGCTTATAACAGTATAGGTATATAATAAGTCCATCCTATAATATCTAGAGTAATTTCTAAATAAAATTTCCAGAGGCTCACAGAAGAAAGACCCGCGAAGGGAAAGCGGGAAAAGGGTGGACCAGAGTACCACCACCAGCCCCCTCAGAGATAGCTGCAAGAGGGACGTCAGAGTTAGCGAGCCAAGCAGACAAGTGGTAAGTTAATAAAGATCCCATTAATGACCTACCATCTTAGGTTATCAGCCAAAAAATCAGGCGAAAGTGAATTAAAACAGTTACGAATATTAAGAAAATGAAAGTCCATGTATGTAATTACATCTATCATGTAGCCCTATTGACAACTTTTGATAGCAGTCTCTGCTTTCCTTTGAAGAGTTTCACGTAAAGGTATAAAAAATATGACACAACTATTACGGGGCTTCTTTATGGATAGAATCACAGTGAGAAATAGGGTCATCCATCATCGGAGTCCAGTGCAGACTAAAAGATATTAGTAACTACTCTATGACTCTTACAAAATACGGAGTCTTCTAGTCGATTTATGCGAAATTTGCTGGATGACTCATTTACATTAGTAGATGGGTAAACTCTGCGCACTCATCTCAATAATCAATAAAACATTAACGGACCAGTGAAAACGGCGGACTGAAACTACCCGCACGAGGCACACGATGAAGTTTTGAGTAGTATTTTCTTGAGGTTCCATTATACAAATCCATTTCAATTATATAGTATCCATTTCAATTATTTCAACATATCTTATTTCCAGTATATAGCATCGTTTGATGAAGATGGTGAGCAGGCTCCCGGGTGGAGGAGAGTCGGCCCCGAGGGTCTGGTGAATTTAGAGAAGGTGTACAGAACACAAGCAGTCATGGACCACATAGCAAGCTTCCACCAGCACCATTATGCGCTGGCGAGAAATAATGCACCTATATTTGGGGAGTATTTGAGGTGATGGCACTATTTATTTTATTATTTTAATTGGCACGCATAACATAGAAAAAAAATAAAATAGATGTTGTACAGTAGGCCTGCTTTATCAGCGATCTCTTCCAGACAAACTATTTACAAAAGATCTTATAAATCATCAGAAAAAGAGGGCTATGTGCAAAATTAGGAATGCAAAAAAATATTGAAAGACTTTACTGCTTTTCTTATCAGTCTTTCAAAATTATTAATATTGAAATAATTACTGTACAGCTTATCTTTTATGTCTTCTGAAGCGTTACTGTCTTTCAGAGCAGCAATATCTTCATGTGAGGAGCCTGTCTTCTCTCAGTCTTCTCAGAAGACCAGTGGCTGTGATTTCGAGAATGAGGCTCTTTACGAGCTGGAAGGTGGGGGCTACTGTCCTGTGCAACCCTTACCTCACGACCATGGAGTGACGATGTTCCCTTTGGCACCACAGAATGGTGAAAGAATAGACAGGCATGTTTTGCAGGTCAGTACTAGATTGTTTAAGTTAAAGCTCTTATCAATTCGCTAGCCGTGGTGAAGACGTGCTCTAGATTTAACGTGCTACACTTACATACTTTGTCGTTGGATTGAATCCTTGATGGAATAAAAAGTCTAATAAATATCTTAATTATATAAATAAATAAATCTTCATGTCTTTTAATATTGGGAAAGGTCGAATAAAAGAGGTCCTATTATATTCCCTTGAATAACCCCAGATTTATTTTTCTGATTAGTAGACTAAAGGAATTACGAATTTTTCATGAACTCACGTGATCTCAACGCAATGTCAACACTCTGGAATTGAAATTTTTGTAATTCGCTATATACTATAATATTCATGTTCATTTATCAATACGGATCAGGATATCAAATGCGTTAATCATATTGAAAAATTACAATTAGTATTTCTTAAAGACTAGAAAACAAAGAATTATGTTTTCTAGTCTAATAAGTGGCGTGAGTTATATGTGTTGTGACGGTGTACAGATAATGCAGCACGGCACCGCATGCGTGGTGGGTGAGGCGGAGTGGGGCGGCGCGCTGGCGCAGCTGCGGCTGGAGCGCGCGTGTGCGCTGCTCACGTGGTGCCGCACCGCGCACACGCCGCACCACCACCACGGTACGCTGCCTACACACGCCATTGTGCATATTCTAGCAGGACTAGTCATCTACTAGTGTTTTGAGCATTTTAAGATCACCTGCGATTGGCCGTTTTTAAAGTGAATTTTCATACATCACAGATATCTATGGTATTTTTGTCACAGTACAACATTTTCTGAACTATTCATAGCAAAGTAAAATTGAACGCCTTGAAGTGCCAAATGACCAAATAGTGGAGTGGCCAAAACCGGGTCTTCTGTCCCATATGGAGTGATTCTACTAGTGAGTTTTAACTTTAAAAGAAACTAAATGGAACCTTCTATCTACCGGATAAAGATCGAGTACCGCCAAACGACCTATGTAGACTATAATTTTTATGTATTAATTATGTATAAACATTATAAGCACGACGCAGGTGTCAAAGCGCTATCTCGTATAAATTATAGGTATAGGTAATCTTAAGTTTCCTGTCGATTGATGTGGCGATCTTAAAGAGATGAGTCGAATGAAAGTAAGACGAAATCTTAACAAATATATAATGTCACATATTCAATGTATGGTAAGGTAAGGTAAGGTTCACTGGTTTTTTGCACAAATACTCGCTGGTCTTGTCAAACAAAGAACATCTAACTTTTACGTAGTAGTTAAACTCTATCTCTTTACTCACGATTGCTATTGTAACCAGGTGATATGCCATCGGAGAATATACAGCAACCTGAAGTGAGCTTATCATATAACCCTGAAGAAGTTATACCCCTGAAGTATTCCACGAATCTAACGCACGAAAACGAAGCCGGCGTAGTGGCGGAAGAAGGGTAAGGATTTTAATTCCAATAAACAATTCGATTTTCTTCTTTAAATGACTTAGTTATTTTGAAAATATTTAATTTAAATAACAGAACGAACACCGTTTTTTCTTAAGTTACTCCTTCAACTAAGCTTCAGAAAGCTGATAGTAGACCTACTATCAGCTTTCTGAAGTTTTCCTCGTTCGCCTCCAAGCGGAGCTCAACTATGGTACCTATTCCTAGCCTTTAATATTTCAGAACCACGACTACTTTCTTTTCCCAAGACGTCTCGTCATTATGTCCTTCAGAAATTCCTATCTCTGATCTCAAAGATCATAATCTACATAGAATAATTTCAAACTTACAAAAACTTATCATTACAGCTTTATCGACCTCCAATGCGTTAAGGATATGCGTTTGGGTGGTAAACTCTTGGAGCCGCGTGATATCACCGAGCTGACCGCCTCCGCGCGGAGACACGGCCTGGAGTCTCACACTCCTCATATCATCAGCTTGGTGTATGGGAAGACGCTGAGTGATAACAGAACAGTTCATTTCGTGCTGCCATCATACTCCTACAAGTAAGACTAGAAAAGTATAAATATATTAATAATCCAATAAGAAATCTTCTCTAAGTATATTATTGGTAGATTATAAAAGAAAGTGCCAATTTTTTAAAAATCTCCTCATATCATTTTATCAAAAGAATGTTTAATTCAGTACGACGGGTTATTACAAAAGACCTTATTTACAAACTGTATAATCAATTTCATCTTCAGAGTATGGGCAGTGGGTCTCCATTCCGTCATCAAGGCACTAATGAGCCAAGCCAAACTGGCGGATCGAAGTCTGGCATGGTTGAAGAATAAGTATACGGCTTTATACTACGAAGATGGATGCTGCTGCGAACCTCTAGTTTCTGACGCTATAAGGGTATGCTTTATTTATTTTATTTTAGAATAACGAGCAAGACTCACTTATACCAGTTAGTTGTAAACACAATTTATATGGTGTCATACTTTGTACTAAACATCAGCTTAAGTTATATTCTATTAAATTCGACATTGATTAGATTGTTAACCGAAAAGGTAGTATTTGATAGTTATCACCAAATTCTCAATATTTATACGTTATATATTTTTTGTCATTCTGAAATTTGCTTTCTTTTTCCGCAAAACTTTTTTCCAACTACACTCATGCCACGTATTGATTCGGACTCGATGAATTTTCGTAAATAGGTAATTTTCTGAATTAATAAGGTTTTTTAATCTCCATAGGTGTTCGGCGGCAGGGAATCTGTCTGTGGTAGTTCTTCTCACTCTACTCCTGTAAAGGGTGTCTTTAGCGAGTCACATTCTGACTCAATCAAAAGTGCCGGTATTAAATTTAAGGTAAATATATTCCAAAACTATTGAACATGCCGCTGCTGTATGTAATTCGTTAACGATTAACGATTTTTTTCTTTAAGGAACAATATATTTGGATGAGATTAACCATTGACATTCATCATTTATAGTCACATGCATATTATTTCATCGTCATATGTATATGCTGATTATTTACTTAAATTGGCCTATTACTTGCGCTATCCTCAATTATAAATTTACTCATTCTTAAACATTCCTAAATTTATTACTGATACATTAAAAGAAAACCTTAACCTATTCCCTTCTTGTTGCTTACACGTTCCTTTGATTGCAGAAAAATAAATCTACTTCAGAACTGAAAACCTGTTCACCCAAAAGCTACGGATCCACACATACATCGGGAACAAGAAGTGAAGACGAAGTTGTACAGGGTTCACCACGACATAGGTATGTATCCAATGCCTGGCTAAAGTCCAACATGCACCGCTGTTCATCAGGAAACTTTAGAATAAACAAGTATAAAAACTTTAAAATATCGAAAATATCCGAGTAAATTTTATACCACCTAATTGGGAATTGGGGGAGAAAAGTGTTTATAAACTAGCTTATAAAAACTATTATATTGTTCAAATAGTTCTTACTCTGCCACCACGAGTCATCATCATCCTTGTGCACCGCGACACAGCAGCTTGACCGCTGCAGCTACCAGTATTATAGCTGGCTCACCAAACAGGAGCAGGTAAGCTAAATCATTAACAAAAAAACGAAAAGGGAAATATAGATGATCCGGCCAACTAAAGGCCGATTACTCTAATCCTATCAATACCAAAGATATTTGAAAAATGTTTGCATCCAAAAGGAATTAATTTCTTTAAAAACTTAAAATCATACCTGTCTTTTTTGATTAAACTAATGCGTGTGACTTTGTTTCGGACGATATCCTTTTTTGCGAAATATGGTACTTATAAAATCACCAAACTGGTCTGGAATGGATTAAAAACGATTTGCAAAATGGAGTACAATAAATGTGGAAATTGTATTGACTGTAATTCACATTTTAATTCAACTTTTTCTAGTACCTATAAATTAGTGTACCACGAAGAAGTATCTTGGGACCTTTATTATTTCTACTTTTATATCAGTGATCTTCCTAATATTACAAAACTATATAACAATAATAACAAATTGATTGAAATTTATAAATAATGATGAGACGAAATATATGCGATTTGCAAACAAAAATACTTAAAATAAATATTACAAGAATTAAATTTAAAAAGAAGTTGACTCCGTACCTTTCCTAGTATTAGAAATTGACAATGACAAATATTGTATGAAACCAAACAGATTTTCATACGTATTGTGGCGGTTATTTAAAGTAAGAAACATACAGACTGCCTCAAAAATCGACCATGACTATGTTGTTTCAAAATATGGGGTAACTCAGTAAAAAGTATATAAACTTTTTATAAAGCCCAAAACAATGCACAAAAAACGACATGTCTTTGTAAAAATAGACTTACTGCATGTGCCAAAAAAAGATATTTTTTATTACAATAAGAGAAAATAAGAAGACATACAAAGAAAATAATGTTGACAAACCACTATTTTTCTATGGCTTAGTGTTATAAATATAGAACATACCTACTTAAGTAATCATTAAAAGGAAATATTTTCGATTTTATTTTAAGAAAAATATTTTCTAAAATAATATATTTATCTTCGGTCCGTAGCACCTATGATCTGATGCTATCTCCAATATGGCCGAGGCAAAAACCGCTTGGGATATATTATCTACAAGTGATTTTCCAACATTGATGTCAGCCCAAAAATATTGGGATAAGTCGCTCTGTTAATTGGTATGGAATAATCTAATAAACACATCTGCCAATTCTGCTGAGCATAGTCATCTCTTAGCTGTCGCTGAATGGGAATCAGGTCTTTGGTTACAAGTATTTTTATCATCGACTGTTGGAACACTTCTCAGTGCCGGATTAAGCCAAAGCGGGACCTGTTTAAGTGTAGTGCAAATGTTTAAGTGTATAATTGATATAAAACAAAACTCTTACAAACTCTTTTCTTGATTTGTAACATTTCATTATAAAATACCTAAATACCAATAGAACTGTTTACACTCAATTTAACTTACAATGTCAGTATGTGTACGCGCCTTATTGTTTTTTTGATTGTTGTTTTTGGATTTTTTCTTTCAATCACCTCATCACGATAAATATATTATCGTGATGACGTTGACGAATAATCGGAACCAGCCCCAAATTTTCATCCGAATTCACTTCAAAAGCAACATCCGCTCTATCTTAAATTGGTAATATCGTTTCGTAGCATAAGTGAAGTGAGTTTCGAAATGATATAAGAATAGAATATCTGAGACACGTATATTCGATCAATTTTGTATTGTATTTTATACAAATTATGGAATCAATACAATTTCTACAGTAATTGACATGAATTTCTGACACATGAGTGAATTCGAATTCGGGTCTGTATTTTTACAGAATCGCCCTGGTGCACAGCTTTTTTTATCAATGTTACAATGTAGAAACCTTAAAAGATTATTTGTGTTTAACTATAAATGTGCAAAACATTTTTTAATATATTGCATTGCATAATGAATTGCAAATTATTTAAAATTAATGATAAAAAAATAAATATTAAAAATTTAGAGACAAGCGTAATATCGAATGGCCTTGACCCAATTGTTCAGTGACCTTGACTGACCCCAGAAGCCAATTAGTGACCTTTATCCCACTCCCCCAACCCTAGTTTGACCTCGATTTATTTAGGGTCGTTCGAGTAAGGCTGAGTGATTTTTTCATTTTGGATCCCGAAAGAAGCCATTGATGTTTATAGCCTGGATATTGTAAGCCGATCGCTAGATGTAACATTACTTAAACTTAAACACAAATGTATATCTGTCTATCGTATCAAAATGTAGATACCTAACTAGAACTGTTACGGGTTCGGTGCTTGGGTCAATTAATAAGGCTGCTAAGCTTGAGTATATATTTATTAGTTAAATAAGGGTAATAAGAAAAAACTGTAACAAACAAAAATAAATTTATAAAAACAGTTCGTAAGTTACTTCACTAATACATACTTATCAAATAAACGAATACATACCCCTTGTCGGGCTTCTAGTTAACTTTTGGATCTTCCAAAATACAGATTACAATTTAGTAGTTACATATGTTATATAATTTGTATCACCATATCACATTATTTATCACAATAAATGAATTATTTTAAAATTACATAGTAAAATTTATACCATTAATATTGTATTGTATTATAATTTCATCTTGTGCATAGGAGAATTTCTTACGAACTGACATCCATAAAGAGTATAATTGATTAGTCAAAATTTTAAATTACGAAAGACGAATAATAAAATGAATAGATGTTGAATTTCACAAAACAAAAAGTTTGCATACTGAAACCTAGGAAAACAAACGGTGGCATGGCACACCGTTACAGAACTAATCCTTACTTTAAGATAAACAATAAACATCAATATAACATATAAGTATGAATTCAAAATTGATCAAATTATTTAAAAATCGCTTTCATCGGTATCAGTGCTATTAATTAATTTTAGTGTTTGTCCAAATTCATATTATAGAGAGAATAAGTACACCTACTACCTGCTAGGAGTAAATGCTCCCGTAGGACCTCGTACTAGGTTAACTTTGCCAAGTCTCTATTTAATAATATGAATTTTGATTAATACTAAATGCAGTGTCAGCGTTAATTTAGTCCAACACTGAACCTTCTTTATTAATAACAATGTATATGTTTATCTCGGTGACATGACTATAAATGTGGTAATCATAAATAATATTGCAGTCGGCCACTATTTTAAATCTGGTGAACCTCATTTTAGAAGTCGGTAAAAATTTATTCCAAATGATCTTAAATGCATTTTTCATTTTAAATCGATTGATTTAATTATAACCAACACTTAATATGAAGCTATTTTTTCAATTTGTCATCAATAATTTGCTTGAATTTCTAAAAGAAATTAATGAGATCATTAAAAGTAATGACATTCTTTCAGCTTAAGAAGATTAGAAACAAGCGAACGCTTTTGGGAGAACCTGAAGCATCTAAGAACCGGCTCTGTTGGCTACGACACGCAATTAGACTTCATGGACTTCGTCGCTCTATTTAGAAGTTTTAGGTGAGTTAAAGAGAGACAAAATACATTTCGACGGTTTCGATATAAAATCATAAACAAACAGACACGCAAACATTTATCATATGCAGTGGCGGACTAACCCCATTGGGGGCCCGGGGCGGCAAGTAACCCCTGCTACAGGCCGTACTTATTTGTCTACGGAACCTTGATCACATTATAAATTCCTACCCGACTTTATAATGTGATCTAGGGACTTTGCAGCCATTTGGAGACCTTTTAGAACCGGAGGTCCGGGGCGCCTCATCCGCCCTCCCTTAGTCCGCCACTGATCATATGAGTATATTGGATGTTTGAAGAAATAAATAAGCGTAGTTGTATCCAACAGCCTCGTGATGCGTTCGGAATTAAGGGATGTATTCGAGCAGTTGGCAGTGCCCAGGAATCGTACGCCCCTGCTAGCAGCCGAGAGGAGTAGGAGCTCACCGGAATTGTTCAGGAACAGGACTGTGTTCAGAACTGGTGAGATATTTAAGAACACCTATTGCTTATCAGGGATGCGACCGCGTAACTCTCTAGTCATGACTATAGCCATAGGAAATATCTTAGCGATGTTATTTTATTTTCATTTTATTATTAAGGTACAATTACAGACACCAAAATAGCAAACATACAAATATATAACAGATTACAAATATATACATTAAATTAATTAATTAGGTATATCTGAGCCCAATAACAATAGTTATTTACATTGAGTTGAAATTTCGCATGACGTCACGTTATGGTACGTTTTCTACTCAACTGTGACGTAGCGAGCCCCCGCTCCTCAACTTTAATGCCTGTTATCTAAGCTATTTCTTGCTAAATTGAAGTAAAAAAAAATACGTATCTAATATTTTTCTATTATCTGACTGACGGACTAAATAGAATTGCATTTTTTTTACCCAGTCATCATCCCTATTACACTGCTGCGGATAGAGTTTAAAAGTACAGCGTTGAATAAAGCTTTAATTACCTTTTTATGTAACCTACAATACTGTGTTAGCGTTATGATAGATACTGTATTTCAGACAACAGCAGTTCTATGTTAATATTTATTTATATAACAATCATAAACTCTTCTACAATAGGTTTATTAACACGAAACGGATCGTTGGACTTGGAACCACCGAGTGATAAGGCTGGTAGAAAGAAAGCTTTCGATTTACTCGCAGCCGCTGCATTACCAGGTGAATAATTTAAATATTAAAGTAATTTAATTTATTATTATTTGGGGATATCTATATTTGGAGTAGATCGGTGGCGTAGTGGATAAGCGCTGCGGCCTGCGATCGTTGTCGTTAAGCAACTTTCGCAAGGGTCGGTCACGGGATGGGTGACCAAAAAATTATTATCTCGAGCTACTCCGTGCTTCGGAAGGCATATTAAGCCGTTGGTCGCAGCTGCATTTGTAGTCGTTAATACCCTCCAATCTGCATTGGGCCATGGCCCATCCTCCTTAACCATCCATAAGGAAGGCCTGAGCCCCTGGAGTGGGGACGTAAAGGCTGATGATGATGATGATGATAGGCGATATCTGTACCTTAAATTTCTGAGATGTTCAATTTTTTAATTGTCAACTAGCTGTACCGCAATTTCGCCCGCGTAAATTTTAGCCTACGCCACCCGAGTATGATGTAGCTTTATTAGAATTTTCATGTTCGGATCGGTATTTCCGACGATTACGTCAGGCAGATTTATTGGAGAACATCAAACGCGTATTTTTTTGGTTAATCAATAAATTACGGAGATATGTTGGGTTGAAATGTCGCGTGACGTCACACCTTTGTGATCTACCTTCTAATTAGATGTGATATAGCGAAGCTCTACTTAACTTAATAAATGAAATAACTTTTAATAAGAGGTAGCTAGGGGTAAATAAATAAGTCAAATGTATTTTTAAAATAATTTAATCTAAACGTTTCCATAAAATATAAAATGTTTGTATTATGAATGTGTCCAATAGTATTGTTTTGAAGGTATCTAGACTCTTAATTAAAAAGACAATCAGCACCTTAATCTTATGAGAACACGGAAACTGTAAAGGGACCGAAACGTCTATAAAAGAAAATACAAAGAAAACATTCGCATATAAATCTTATAAAGAATAGGAATAGAATAGAATAGGATTATGAAGTAATCCTATTGATTATAGTTAATCCTATTATATATAAATAAAGCAATCAATGTCGATTCTAATTAATGCCACTAAATTGTAACGTTATTATAGCTTAGATTTTAATTCCAGGCGCCTGCCCAGAAGTGAGCGGGCGTGTGTTATCGCTGCCCACGCTAGGGAAGTTCTGCGAGACTAGACAAAACGAGCCGAAAACTGAAGCACAATTAAAGGACATCATTCAGGTGCTAAAAACGTTTACATTACAATTGTGGGTATATCGATAAATATCGGTCGTTCACCTCAAAACATCGGGTATATAGATAGCGGCGGTTTTAAAGAAAACTTCTTTCTTTCTTTATCTCTGTTAGCAAATAAATAAAATAAGACATGTTTATGGTTTACAGTAAAAAACTAAAATAGACTGCAGAAATGTATATTTGGAGACAGTTTTATTTTCAATAATTTTACAAAAAAATCTTAATTAAACCTAACCTAACCTGCTTTTTTAAAGCCGGTTGGTTATATTTGAGCACTGTTTTTACCCTGTATGTTTTTTAGACTAATGCATCATCGACTTTCTAAACGACAATAGGTACCTATTACATAATATTTTACTTATTTTTAGAGACACGAACCAGATCCCGCACTACGAGCGGAACATTGCCTGTCCTTCGAGGGATTCGTCAGATTTCTGACAGATAAAGATAACTACGCCTTTGTGCCGGAACAAAGGAGAGCAAATAACTTTTTGAGGTTAGTTATTAACGCTGTTCGAATTTAATTAAGTAATCTTTTTTCCTTATTTAACCACCTCCACCACAAATAGCCATCCTTACAGTGTCTTCGAAATACTTAAGAAATCGAAAAAAATAAAATTGAAGGAAAAAAAATCTATGTCATCATAATAAATATGAGTCTGTCTTTAGTAGTCTTATTTATTTTAATAACATACGCTTGTAGAGTTCGTTTCACGAATGTAATCCTTCTGATTACAATGTTTTCGCTTTTATTACAAAGGAATAAGAGTTATGCCAAGTGAACATGTTTGTGAAACGGTTTATAAGTATATGTAGTTTATTATTGGACTTAAAAAAAAAAACATAATATTATCAACACCCAGTTTACTACTACAATAAGTGACATCATATTACCACAATATATCAAATTTTGTCCCCATTTGATTAGCAACTCTACCGTCAAAGCATTAAGGCTCAAAATCCACTGAAGAAGTTTGACAGTATTATATAACCTGACAAAAATCTTACTTTACTTCGCTATAGTAAAACAACTACGGCAGAAGACGATGAAGCGTCAAAAGATCTATCGAAACAGATGTCCGGACCCCTCAGTCAGTATTACATCGCCAGCAGTCACAACACTTACCTTACCGGTCACCAGCTGAAGGGAGAATCATCGGTCGAGTTATACAGTCAGGTGAGTGTACGTTGTAGATTGCTCACCCAGAGACAGATTTGCAGGTTTATGTACCAACCCCTTTTTTAACTCTGACAATAGAGGCACTGTTAGCTCCAGTATATTTTATGCAATTATTAGTTGCCCAAGGTATCTGTCCGCCCTAAGTACCTTACTTATAAATCTAAACTTCCCTCCCGCACGCACACCCCGTCTTTGTGACGCCCACTTCGTAACGGGCCGTGCAGCAGATATCGTAATATTTTAATTTCGCCGTAAATTCAAAGCCAAACGTCCAATTTTAATCATTCAAAGACCAAATATTATCTACATAAACTGTACTTAGTGATGAAATAATTTATTTTGATAAAGATTAATAGTATAAGTAAAGCATTTAAATGTAGTCCAAAAAAAATCAAGATTTTTAAATAAAAAAATGGTTGATGTGCCTCACTCTACATATAAAGGTTAGTGTGTCGCGGTGTGTTTTGTAGATATTTATAAGATCTACAATTAATTAGAACATTTTATGGTTCCATCTTTTATATTTAAGTTAGCGTACGCAAAATAAGTAACTTTTCTGGTTGATTTTTTACACCTTGTGTCCGAAAAGCCCAAATATCTTACGGTGCCCTATTTTTTCCAAAATAAAATATAGCCTATGTTACTCGTGGATAATGTAGCTTTCGAATGGTGAGAGTTTTTAAAATCGGTCCAGTAGTTTTTGAGCATATTAATTACAAACAAACATACAAACAAAGTTTTCCTCTTTATAATGTTAGTGTAGATAAAAGTTCTGTGTGTGTCAATTTTACAAGCACTTTGTAAAATTGACATAAGAAATTCCTTTTCTTATGTCAATTTTACAAAGCGACCGCCGGAACTATCGAAGATATATCCTATTCCCTGTAAGTGAATAAATTATCAACTGTTCAGTCTCGGTTACTCCAATAACCCTTATTACATTGTAATAAAAGCGAAAACAATGTAATTCGAGAAACTTCGTTAGTGAAACTAATTCTAGTTTCGCGTGTGTTTAGGTATATCGCGAAACTAATTCAGTGAAATTAGTGACATTGGTTAGTGGCACGAAAACCACTCTATGTTTAGTAATATCAAGATTTAGAAATATATTTTTAAAAATCCACTCAAGTTAAAAAATCTATTTTATGAGTAATATGGGTGTAGACAAATTTTTAAATAATTTTATTTTAAGTACTTTTAAGTAAAGTACTTTTAAGAAGTCTATTTGCATAAAGATTATTTTGACTTTGACTTTGACTTATAGATATATATGAAATATATCTAAAAAATATTAATAAAAATATCATTCATATAACAAAATAAAATGTAAAAATAAGTTTAATTTTCAAAATTTCCTGTGAAAACGCCACTTCTGTCATGGCGCCGCTATGACGTCACGGCCTCTGAAACGATCATCATTCTATGTATGCATAAGGTAGAATTCTCAGTTTTGATTTGAGTAAGAATGGCATGACGTCACGTGCCGTTTGCAGTCATGTGACAACGAGTATAAAATATTAGTTTTTTCATAATTAAATGAAGCTTTTATATAAGTATTATATATTTATAATATTGCTTAAAAGTGTAATTATCGATAATAGTATATTAAATACCAGAAAAAAATATATGTACTTATTTTCATTTACTGTCCACACACGTATTGCTTAGTTGCCGAGTGTCACACGTGTTTATGATGTAGTAACGCCATCTAGTAACCAAGTGAAATAACACGTGTTCATATTACAGTCGTCCATACATTACGATTCACAACTAGATGTCGCTAATTCAATCGTTTCATAATAAAACCACGCTAAATGTCAGTGAAATATTTATTTAAACTTATAATTATAGATTTAATACATTAGTATTATTTAATGGGTGTTTCGTCTATACCAGAAGCGAGCGCGATAATCATCACTACAAGTGAGAAACGCCGGGGCAGTCCCTGAATGGACTATGTACCTGTAGAATAGAAAAAAAACTATATTAAATGCACGTTCGTTGACAGTGCCCATTCAATGAAATTAGCGACCTAAGCGAAACTAAAAGATGCCTATAGAAAATCAAAACAAATTAAAAGATTATAGATACACCGACGAAATGAAATTTCTTAATATTATATTTCTCTGTTTGAGCTAATTTTAGTATGGCTTAAAATGTTATACATATTTTCCGAGGATAGAGGCGCTGGATATTTAAATACATCTTATATACAACCAAGTTCAGCAACAGATAATATAAGATCTAATTAATAATTTATAAGCATAGTGTAAAATCTGTTATATCGTTATAGCCAATAATTATAATTATTTATTTGTACAAATACTGAAATTATTAATGTAATTTTACCAAAGCAAAAGAAACTCAAATTTCGTTCTTTCGAATATCGATGTCGTAAGAACAAAAAAGTAATTTTTTGGGTTCAAATAATTAGAGCAAAACAGATCATACTGTGATATGCTTTTCCAACTCGCTGGATAACTCATACTACTAGCCCGAACTCGTCGTTAAAGTCAAGTGATCATATCTCGCCAAGGTCATCAACTCGCACGAGGTATGAGGTATGAGGTATGAGGCATGAGGTATGAGGCATGAGGCATGAGGCATGAGGCATGAGGCATGAGGCATGAGGCATGAGGCATGAGGCATGAGGCATGAGGCATGAGGCATGAGGCATGAGGCATGAGGCATGAGCTCACCTGACCGCCCCGTTGTGGCCGAGCGACATGAGCTGGCACCTGCTGGCGCTGCGCGAGTGCCACGTGCACAGCGAGGTGGTCGCCTCGTCCGGGAACATCACGTAGTCCTCCGTGTGGTTGAACACCGCCTGAGCGTGGTGCTCCTGCTTACCTACCAACATCATCATCACCATCATCATTACCATCACCATCACCATTCATCATCATCATCGTCGTTATCACCATCGACTCGTTCACCATCAACACAGTCATCACCAACATCACCACCTGTCGTCATCGTCATCATCATCATCATCGACACATTTATCTTCATCACCGTCAACACAGTCATCACCATCAATGAAATCATCATAATCTCCACCATCATTATCATCATCATCAACATCATCATCAGCCCTTTTACGTCCCCATTGCAGAAGCATCCTTATGGTTAAGGAAGATAGGCAGTCTAGTCAAAATATCCAAATCCAGTTAACATAGGCATACTTTAAATGTAGACATCTAAAGGTTTCAGTTAACACAATCTGAACAATTTCTAACGCATATGAAAGATTACCTTGAAGCGGGAGCTGATAAAATATTTTCAATTTCTTTATTTTCTAAAATTAAAACTCTATATTTGATACATTCTTTGTTACAAAAATAAAATTATAAAAAATATATTTATTCTCACCCGTTGTACCAGCCCCTGTGTACTGTATCAAGCATCTACTGCTAGCCAGCTCCCACAACTTGATAGACGAGTCCAAACCGGACGTAAGAAGATACTGAAACCAAAATTATAAGTAAAAAAAAAATCACTTTGCTGTATCGACTAAGATGTCTACAATTTTGTAGCGCCGGCCATGTTGGTTTTGGAATAATGTTGAATCTGTCATCAGGAAGAGGTTGAAAAAAAACTTTTAAAATAAATAACACTTCAAAGTAATTTCTGTGGACAACTTTAGCTCTTTATATATTACAAGCTTTCCGCCGGCGGCTTCGCCCTCGTGGTGCCTAAAGAACTGTTTAGTGAGATAAAAAGTAGCCTAAATTTAATTTCATTATTAATTTGGATAAAGTTTCATAATTATAACACGGATATAATTACAATGAATAGTAAACAAATTCAATAGGGAATTCAATGGTTACCATGGTAACTTTTTAATACCCATTACAAATTTCCACTCCTATTTTTCTTTCTTGTAGCTTCCCGTAGGTGAATGATTTTTTTAAATCGATCCAGTAGTTTCGAAGCCTTTTCGATGCAAACAAACAAACAAACAAATAAAAAATCGTCCCTTTTTAATATTAGTATAGATATTAAGTTGTCAAACGAACTGAATTCAAAACTAGCCTAAAGTACACAC